CAACCCCAGGCACAGCCCCCTCATTCTGGTGGCGTTTGCTACCCTGGAGGGGCTCCGATGATGCCTCAGCAGCCGCTGGCTCCACAGCCTGCAGCTCCCCAACAACCTCAGGCCCCTCTTACCATGCCCCACCCACAGCCCTCCACCCTGTACCCTTCAGCTCCGAATGTACCTCCAAGTGCCCCACAGCAACCCACTGCCATGGGCCCACACGGTCCACACGTCCCCCCCGCTCAGCACATGATCCAGCCCTCTCCTGGAGGTCCTTCAGTGGCTCAACCACCCAACACCGTGCCTCCTTCCCCTTCGCCTTCCCCCTCCCCATCTCCCTCTCCAGGTCCTACCTCTTTGGGTTTAAACCCCCAGCAGAGACCCACACCAGCCCCCACCCCCGGAGGCTCAGCTCCATCCACTCTTCCCTCTCCCTCTACTATCTCTCCCTCCACATCGCTCTTTCTGCCCCAGAACTCAAGCACAGATGACCTCCTCTCTTCGAGTCCCGAGAGCCAACCTGGAGGCACCAAGGCCCCCACCAATGTCCTCCAACCCACCAAAGCTGACCCACAGGACGGGGAGCGTCGGAAGAAGAGCTCCCAGGCAGTTCTCCTGATCCAGGGTGACCCATACCAAGCTCCAGAGCGCGTCGCCCGTCTTCACGGTGAACTGGAACGTTACAGAGCCCAGGTAGACTCCCTGGAGCACCCCTCGGAAATCGAGGGTGGCCTGTCTGTGCTGGACGCCCGCTGGAAAGAGCTACAGGACCAGCAGGAGAAGGACGCCCGCCAACTCTCCATCGCCATCGCCCGCTGCTACACCATGAAGAACCGTCACCAGGATGTCATGCCCTATGACCTCAACCGCGTGGTGCTGCAGTCGGGCAAAGACGACTACATCAACGCCAGCTATGTGGAAGACCTATCGCCATACTGCCCACGCCTTATTGCCACGCAGGCTCCGCTCACCGGCACAGCGGCAGACTTCTGGCTGATGGTGTATGAGCAGAAGGTGTCACTGATCGTCATGCTGGTTTCAGAGCACGAGCTGGAAAAGGTAGAGTTCAGTTTCCACTGTGAGTTAATGTGGAAGTGATTAAAACAACGTGTGCTGCTGCTGGAGAACATTTCAATGGAACATTTTACCTTTTATTCATTTTTTAATTAACAGTTTCATCACAATCTCAAAGTAGCTGTTCAGGAACTTAAGTCATTTCACATGATCTTCATCAGCAGATGGAGTTTGCAGCTGTCATCGAATTGTAGATTTTCTTTTAGAAATTTAAAAAAAGGACTAACAATTAAAATAAGAATAATTAAAGGACTTTTAATCCTCGTTGGTTTAAAAGCTGAAGTTTGTTTTTTGACCTTTGAATCTGCATTTGAGGAACAATTTTACCACAATGTCCATTTTATATTTCGGAGCTTTGAATCATGTCACATATTGATAATCAGATACAGACAGAACGGATCATTTCTTTAAAGTTTCTTTTTGAAAACAGCTCCTGTAGAAACCTCACACACTGTTGTGTTTGTAACGTTGTCGCCTCGATCTCTCCCAGGGAAAGGTGGTGCGCTACTTCCCAACGGAGCGCGGCCAGCAGCTCTCTCAGGGACCAATCACACTCAGCCTAACCACTCAGAAGACAACACCGACACACGTGGAGCGCATGATCAGCCTGCAGTACCGCGACCAAAGCCTGAAGCGCACCGTCGTCCATCTCCAGTTCACCTCCTGGCCGGAGCTGTGAGTGCTTCCTTTTAATCAGTAGTTTCTGTAGAAAGCACGAATGGCTCCGATCATGTGTAGAGGTTGTTGTTGTTGTTTTGTTATTATAATTTATTATAATTGAACATTTCCCATCAGGGGTCTTCCTGACAGCAAGAGCAACCTGCTGCGGTTCATCCAGGAGGTTCATGGACACTACCTCCACCAGAGGCCCTTACACACACCTGTCGTGGTGCACTGCAGGTAAGAGTGTGTGTGTGTTTAAACATCTCACAGTATATACAGTATATTTGATTCTTAACGTCACAGTAGCTGGTTAGTTTATTCTTTAAGCTACTTTAGGCAGGTGACCAACAATCATTTAGAGTCAGGTTCTTGTGAATTTGGGGATTTATGTTAAAATAAATCCTGTCTTTTTGAGGGATTAGTGCTGAGGCTTATTTCACTCTGCCTATACATATACCACAAAATTGTGTTATAATGTGTTCCACCATAAATGCTACACAAAACTAAACAGATCCACAACAAAAATGATTTTAAATACAATCATACAAAAGACTAGAAACAGCCTAAATAAAAACAAATATATATAATATAAAGTACAGTAGTGGATATTGTTCTTTGATCCTCAGTCATTTGAACTTCTGGTGGTGTTGTGTAGTGTTGCTCATCAGCCTGTTCCCTGTCTGTCTCAGCTCGGGTGTGGGACGCACCGGTGCCTTCTGTCTGCTGTACGCTGCAGTGCAGGAGCTGGAGGCAGGAAACGGCATCCCAGAACTTCCACTGCTGGTGAAGAAGATGAGACAACAGAGGAAGAACATGCTGCAGGAGAAGGTCAGACACTGAAATCTGAAGGTTGTTCAGGTGGCAGCAAGAGGCAGTTGTTTACAGTTTGAGGATTTCATTATGCAAATGTATTTCAATGTAATACGAAGCGCTCCTTGGACCTAAAGTCCCTCCTGGTGGCATGATAGGAATATGATGATGATAAGTCTTAATAAGCTCCACTTCACAGATAAAACCTGAAAATGGCAGGATACACACACAAGTTCATTGTGAACAGAACCAGTTGCTGGATTACAGTTTTTTTACTCTCTTTCTGCGTCTCCAGCTCCACCTGAAGTTCTGCTATGAGGCTGTGTTGAAGCACGCTGAGCAGGTCCTTCAGCGACACGGCATCACTACCGCCACCTGCAGCAAGAACACTAACCCTGCAGCCCCAAAGGTTTGACACTCACTCACATGCAGTAGAGTTAGAATTGTTACAGGGTTTTACTAGCCTCTGTGCCCAGTAGGTGTGACTAGCTTTCAGTATGTAGTTTAAAAACTGACCCTCAGTATCCCATATTCCCCTGCACACCAGTTCATTTAATGTTCAGGTGATCCTCAGGAACATGTTGGCCAGTATCCTGTAACTGGAACTTCTGTCTACTAAAGAAATAGAGTAGAATTGTTGTCCCTCTAGTGTAGTCTTTGAATCTCACTGCCTGGTAGCGCCAATCACCGTCATCATTGTCACTATAATAAGTCCTAATGTTGCATTTGCTTACATTTTGCACTCGTTCCAAAGGAATCCTACGAGTTGTGGTCAGACGAGGTACTCCTTTTATTGTCACTAGAGCTTTCGCAGCAGCCGCGGTTCGAGGCGCTTTATTTTCCTCTGTCTCTTTATATCTGAACATGTCTCTCCGTTTCTCTCCACAGCCTTACCAGAGACAGGAGTCCCAGCAGGATATTGTCCTCGGTGGCGACATGCCCATCAGCTCCATCCAAGCCACCATCGCCAAGCTCAGCATCCGGCCGCCCAGCGCCACAGACCCAGCCATGGAGGCCCCCTTTGGCCTGGAGGAGCAGGTCGGCACAATCTTCCCCGACCTCGACTCGCTGGGCGAGGTCCAGGCGCTGCAGTACCCCTGTCCCCCCACAGATCCCCAGCCCCCTTCCTCCTTCAGCCCGCCTCTCACCTCGCCTACCAACTCTCCACCACCGCCCAACGGCCTGGATGCTGTCTCCCCCTGCA